TACTAGTAGTAGTTGCTAATGTTGGTTTTAAGATAGCTGCAGCTGTTGAGTTGCTGTTATTTTGCTTTGAAAGACATACTTTAGAGAAATGTCCTTTTTTTTTCACACTTGTTACAGGTACCATCTTTAGCTGGTCATTTATATCCAGGATGCACAGTGTTTTCACAAAAGAAGAAAAATTTAGTTTTGGAAGAGTTTTTACTATTAGGAATGGTAACAGATGTGGTGAGAAAATATGTATTCTTATTAAAAACAGATGCTGTAAAAGTAGGAATTTAGTAAACTAAGGATAGATAATGTTCAGAATGCTTTTGAGCAGATTTGTCAAATATAACCCCTAATTTCATGTCTCTATTTTCAAGATATTGTTCGATTTCATCAAAAGTATACCACTAATAAAGGAGGCACAAATAGCTTTTTGGTAGAGTATTTAGTAACTACTTTAAAGTTACAATCTTTGGCAAGTATATTAAGTGCTTGGATATAATCATCAAATGATTCCCCTGATTTCTGTTAACATATTACCATGCAATTTTTAGGAAATATAGTGTTAAATGGTTTATATAGATTACTCAATGTATCAATAACAGAATCATTGGTGTTACCTCCACTAATGTATTCAAAAATCTGATGAGAAAAAAAATTAGCTAAAATTCTAAGTTTGTCAATATTTTCTTGAGATCAAACGTCTAAAAAATATTTAAAAATTCTTAACCATTGGTTATTTAATTATTTTTTGGTTACTTGATGGTGTGTTTGGATGCAATTCAAATCGTGCTGGTCATAGAGCTTTGTCCATTTGTTCTTTTTTACACTATCATTAACAAGTCAATAAAATTGTTGTGGACTTAAAGGATAAATGACAATAACTGAATTAGTATTTTTGCTTGTGATAATATATATATATATATATATATATATATATATATATATATATAATATATATATATATATATATATATATATATATATATATATATATATATATATATATATATATATATATATATATATATATATATATATATATATATATATATATATATATGAATATATATATATAACAAAATGAATATAGGGGCTAAGATTGACTCTTACATAATTGAAATTCAAAATAATATGATTTTGTATAATATTAATTTAAATAGTCATTCAAAGTTACCCCATAAATGGGGTACTTTGAATGTGTTTTTTTGTAAAAGCAAAACCAATTCAAAAACGCATTGTTTTGTTTTAAAATTTAATAAAAGCAACCAAGTCTAGTTTCACACTAATTTGTTATTGCTAAAATATTATAATATTATTTCATAACAAACACCTATTTAGTGTTTTATTTTGTTTTAATGGGTATCTTTTAAGTGGACTAGCATAAAAAAAAGTCTCATTTACATCAATTCTACTAACAGACTATGTAAGTGGGACATCTTTACATTTTGCCAAAAAATCCTCAAAAAAAATACTTTTAAAAAGGGTAAAAGTAGTTTTTTTTTTTCCTTTGAGCCTGATATCAACATGAAACAATTGTTTATATCTAATGGGTAAATCCCATATTTCTTTCAAAATCAGTAAGCTACTAAGTTGTTGATTACCTTTTGATCTGACAAATATAATGTTCATAACTAAAGAAAGAACAAAGGAGATTTATCTTTTATAATTATCTGTGCTTTTTTTGGAACAAGAAATTTTCAATTAATCAAGTATTTTCCTCTAATATTTTTTAAGAGGTCCATAAAATGCAACATCAAGAGGTTGTAATAAATGTGTAGAGTTACCAGTTATATAACAAAATACTGTTTTCTTCTCAACAAGATTTTCTTTAGTAAATTGAAGTACTTTTTCATTGAAAAGATTGTTTCGATTATAACTTTAGTTTCTGGAATTTGATTAAAAAAAAATAAATTATAATGACAAAACAGTCAAAAAATTGAATAGAATAAACCATCCTGAATTTGGTTGTACATTAGGAAGTCCACTTTCAGTTCTTGTTGACCATAAATGGTCAGCTTTAAAACTTTAAATAATCAAAATATAAACTATTTTTAACACTTTGATGTTTAAAGTTTGAACAGTTTTATATAAAGTTTTGCCTTGACTTGAAAACTGAAACTTGAAAAAAAAAAATTTTTTTTTTTCATGTTGTAATTATGCTTCTACATTCAAATTTTTTTTGGTGGGGTTTAGAAATATTTAAGTAAATAAATTTTAGAAATATTTAATCCCTCAGTTAATTTTGCCAGACTTTTTTGCCATATTTTAAAATTATTTAACTCCCAGGGTTATTTATTTTACTGGAAAATTTAAAAGTTTTAACTTTTTGGGGAGTTAATCCATTTCGCGTCAACGGCAAACTAATTTTTGTTTTATAATTGTGGTATTATATATAATTTGTATATTTTTTAATTTATTACTAATTAGTTGCTAATATGTGCTAATTAATTAAATTTCATTTACAATACAAAACAAAAGTTAAAATTTACTAGCCTTTCAAAAGAAAACATAC